TATTGTATTTAGGATTTTCAAGAAGATGGGATTGAAAAGTAAGTAGATTACAGGGGATGTTTACGGAAAAGGGAAGTCGAGCCAGAGTGAGAGGCAAAGTGATATCATATGCCTTTATTAATGAGATTACTGATCGCACTTTTCCCATTTTTGGGTTCATTGAGAAAGATGCTATAGTTATTACTATAAAGCTCATATAATTCTAGAGCAATATGATTTGTTCTGGTCACAAATCTTGGATTACTGTCTAACAATATAAATGTGTGTTCGACTTATTCGTGGACCGGCTAGCTTCAAGCTTGGTCGATTCTTGATCAAATTTTTATCTCTATTGCTTGAATTTGAGCCCCAGATTGATTCCTATCATCAAGGTATATGCTCATAGATGGTGTAGTATTCTTGATGAAGACATGATTTGAACAATTAAGTCCGTTCCTTGTTTAACGATTTAAGTTTTAAAATGAGGTATTTAATATAATATCGTACTAGGCAGAATGATACTGTTATGAGACCCTCTTGCATGAAAGTTTGAGAAAGGAATATTAGAAGTCTTATTGATGAGCAAACCTGTTCTCAATTATCTTGATGTGCGATAGGTGATCTGGTGTTAGTACTATAAACAACATGGACAAATAATAAATAAAATCAACATTTAAGATAGTTTCTAATCTAGTTGTATTGTTTTTGGATTTTAAGAAATTTCATTGTCTCCTTTGGAGTCCTTGCAATGGCTTCATTGGCCAGCCACCGCCACTTTTATGGCCTCACACTCAAAGAAATCCCCTCGTAGTATATGGTCACTATAAACTTGGGGGTTGCACTACTGCACAGATGCAATGTGACACAATTGAACTCTTTATCATCGAGGATCAGGTTCATGAGTTCATCAAGTACTACGTGCTAGATTCAGTATTATAAAATGCACGCATGTGTAATGTCGCATATGGGGTATGTGCATGATAATGCAGTTAACCCATTTTGTTGACCATATATGCTCACTTAGACGCCAAAATGTTCATGCATTTGTGTTAAAAATTGTATTCAAATTAGCCGAACAAAGACCAATCCATTTTTATAACTTAAAAAAACAAAAATGCTAATTGAGCCCAACAAAATATAAAATTAGCCCATATCACTCAAACGCAATCGTACGATTTTGACAATTAGAAAAATCAAAAATCAATTTGTCATAGAGTTGCAAACTATATGTATAACATTCAATTAATTGTAGTATTTTTTTTTTTTTGTCACATAACAGGATTTCAACACTCCCTCTCAAGTTGAATTCTAGATATTGATTATATCCAACTTGTAAATGAAATTATCGAATTCTGGTCATGGTGATCCTTTGGTGAAGATGTCTGCGATTTTTCCTGTGAAGGAACATATGTCATACAAACAATCCCCCCTTCTTTCACTTTATTTTTTTATGAAGTGTCTGTCAACCTCCACGTGTTTCGTCCGATCATGTTGGACTAGGTTTAGAGAGATGTTGATAGCAGTTTATTATCACAATAGAGTTTACTTGGAAACTTCATTGCAACATGTAGTTCTTCTATGAGTTTCTTCAACCATAATCCTTCACATGTTCCTTGTGCTACTGCTCTAAACTTTGCTTCAGCATTACTTCTATCAACTACGTTTTACTTTTTGCTTTTCCATGTTACTAGATTTTTCTATACAAAAGTAAAATATCTAGTGATCGACCTTCTATCTTCGGTGGAACCTGCCCAATCTGCATCTGTAAAACTTTCACATCTTTCCTTTCATCCCTTTTGAAGAATAATCCTCTTCCTGGTGAACATTTGTGATATCTGAGTATCTTATAGATAGCTTCTAGGTGGACTTCCTTTGGACAGTGCATATGTTGGCTTACCACACTAACTGTAAAAGCAATGTCAGGTCTAGTGTGTGATAAGTAGATTAATTCAGCTGCTAGTTGTTGATATCTGTCTGTGTCTATTGCCCTACTGGAATTCTCAACTTTATTTTCCACATCAACCGGTGTATCACTGGTTTTACATCCGAGCATTCCCGTTTCAATAAGGAGGTCAATAACATATTTTCTTTGTGTTATGCTGATTTCCCCTTTAAACATATCATTGGTCCCAGATCATTTACTTCGAATTCAGTAGCTAGATTCTCCCTAAGCTTCTTTATTTCTATTGTGTTGTCTCCTGTCAAGATTATGTCATCAAACTAGGATTGTCTTAGTTCCATCGCCGAACTGTTGGAGGAACATAGTGTGATCTAATTGTCCTTGTTGGTATCCCAATCTCTTCAATACTTTTGCAAATCCGTCAAACCATGCTCTAGGTATTGCTTTAGTCTATACAATGACTTCTTGAGCTTGCATACCCCATTCCTTTCGTTTGCAAAAACCTAATGGTATTGTTATATACACTTCTTCTTCTTCCAATTCTCAATTTTAAAAAGCATTCTTAATGTCCAGTTGTTGGAAAGGTCAATCTAAGTTTGCTGCTAATGACAAGAGTAGTCGCACTGTATTTAATTTTGCCACAAGTTCAAATGTTTCTGTGTAGTTAATGCCACAGGTCTGGGTGTATCCCTCTTCAATTAGGCAAGCTTTTATATCATTCTACTGTCTCGTCAGATTTATATTTTAAATTGAAGACCCATTTGTATCCAATTGGTTTTTTTTCCTCTTGGAAAATCCATAACTTCCCAAGTCTCATTTTTTTTTTCTGACGCTCGCATTTCCTCCATCACCACTTCTTTCCATTTGAAATTTTCAAAGCTTCATGAATATCCCTTGAAATTTTGGTATTATCAAGATGAGAGGTAAACTGCGAAATCCTGTAGATAGAGTATTATATGACATGAACTTTGAGATATGGTGAAGAGTACATGATCGAGTTTGTTTTTGGAGTGCGATGGAATATCTGATGACTCTGGTACATTCGTGATGTCAAGAGGCTCTGGAGCTATCATCGTGTCTGACTATTTTGGTGCTTCAGGTGTAAGGTTCTCCTAATGTCTTGTTTTTTGTTTCCTTGAGTAAACTAGTATTTCCTTGCCTCTTTATTTTTTTGCATCTTCTCCCTAAATTCAAGTTTTCTCCTATAAATGGCACAGACGAACTAGTAGATGGCAAGAACTCCAAAAAAGAAGATCTAAGTTTAGGTACCAATCTTTATTTTAAATTCCCCCCCTGAAGAGAGGTTCTGCTGAAGTATGAAATATTTTCAAAGAATGTGATGTCAAAACTGACAATGACTCTATGTGTGGAGGGATCATAACATCTGTAATCCTTTTGAGTATGTGAGTATCCAAGAAGAACACATTTAATAGCTCGAGGTTCCAATTTATTTCTGTGATTGTTGTGAACATGGACAAATGCGGTACACCCAAGTAGCTTGAGAGGTAGGTTCGAGTTGAGTCGAGAGGTCGGAAAGAATGTTTGAAATCTTTGGAGAGGTGATTCGAAGTTTAAAGTCCGACTAGGCATTTAATTGATTAGATAAGTGGATTTTAAGATATCATTGTCCCAAAAATGTTTTGGCATATTGGAAGTGAACACTAAAGCTCTAGCAACTACTAATAGATGTCTATTTTTTACATTCGGCAACCTTGTTTTGTTGAGGGGTTTCAACAAAAGAGCTTTAGTGGATTATCCCATGAGTGTGGAGGAAATCCCCATATTTTTGTTGAAATATTCAATGCAATTACCTGTGCATAGAATTTGAATGAGTGTTTGGAATTGAGTTTGTATCATAAAGTGGAAATTGACAAATACAGATTGAACATCAGAATTTTCTTTCAATAAATACACCCAACAAATTTGAGTGTTGATCATCAACGAACATAACAAACCACTTTGTATGATTTCGATTAGGAATGCGTGAAGGACCCCATACGTCACTGCGAATTATAGTAAATGGTTTTGAGGGCTTATATGTGGATTTTGGGAATGAGGTACGTTTATGTCTAGCAAGCTCACAAAATTCACATTGAAAGTTGACTAGTTTTTTTATTTCGAAAAATAGTAGGGAATATATGTTTCAATTATTGAAAGTTAGGATGTTCTAATCCAAAATGCCATAACAAGACTTAGCTATCACTAGGAACAAATGCAAAATCACAAACTGCAATTAGATGTTGCTTACTCACATCAACCTTGTCCAAGTATTAGAGCCTCTACGCTCCTTAGCATTGCCAATCGTCTTCCCTGATGATAGGTTTTGAAAAACACAATGTGAATGAAGGAATTTAGTAATACAATTTGAGGTTTTTGTGAGTTCGCTTATAGATAGTAAATTACAGGGTAAATTAGGGACATGAAAGACATATTTTAAAGTTATAGAGTCAGAGATTCCAATACTCCCTTTTCCTGCTATAGGTAAGAGTGAATCGTCAGCAATCTTAACTTTAAGGTTACCCGTGCAAGTTGTATATGATGAAAAATAGGTTGTAGGAGCTCGTCATGTTATCAGAGGCTCCTGAGTCAATCATCCAATGATTTTTAAGTTTGGAGATAGCACTTAAGGCTCGTCGGAAATTACTTCTATGAGTTAGTGAGCTCGAAGACCCAATTTGGGAAGATTGATCGGATGTTTGAAGCCTTGAGAAAATTTTGTAAAGTTGCTCTATTTGTGTAGGATTGAAAGTACGCTTAAGTTGATAGTTTGATGGTCCATCAAAGCTTGATAGCCCCGATTTATATTATTCTGCTTTGGTTTCCAATCTATTGATTTTCCATGTAAATTCTAACATGTATCTTCCTTGTGCCTTGGTTTACAACAATGTTCACACCATGGTCACCCCTTTTGTTGTTTTGTGCTTGGTCCATTAATTGCACTTCTCGATTATGGGCCCCAACCACCAGATCCAGTATTAAAATTGTTAGGCCTATTATTGGAAATATTAGGCCCATTGTTAAAAAAGCAGCTGGTCCAGTCCTTGGATTAAATTTAACATTACCCGACCCATTTCCATGTTTGTTATCACCTGCTTTTGGCCCAATTTTGAATGAGATTTCTTCTTCTCTAGCGTCGTCTTTTCCTCCATTCAGCATCATTCGCCTTTGATTTTCCTCCTGACGAATCTCCGAAAAAACTTCCCTCGTTGACGGTAGAGGTTGCTACCCCAGGATCCTTCCTCTGACATAGTCTAATTCACGGTGAAGGGCGGCCAAAAATTCGAATACCCTTTCATTCTCCAGTTTCTTTTGGTAGCATTCGCAATCACTTGGACAGTCCCATTTTTCCTCTGTACTCAAGTCAAGTTCTTGCCATAAACGCCACCATCTCCATGTACTATTCTGTTACACTCTGTCTCCTTGTTTGGTTTCCCACAATTTGGTTTTGATTTAGAAGTCAAGGGAAGAATTTTTGGAATCTGAATATGTTTCTCTAACTGTGTCCCATACATCTTTTGCGATTGGTAGGAAAAGATACGTCTTTCCAATGAAGGGCTTCATGGAGTTCACGAGCTACGTAGTCACTAAAGAGTATTCTGACTTCCATCGCTGCAAACACCAATGTTGTTGAGGTAGGCTTCTTCGTATCACCAATCAGGTACCCTAATTTACCTTTCCATCGATTACAAGTTTAATTGACTGAGTGTGTGTGTGTGTGTGTGTGTGTGTGTGTGTGTGATTTGCATGTGGATGTATGTGCTTGTAATGCTTGATGATCAATCAAAACGCATTGTCACGTATTACGTATTTTAAAATCTTGGCTATATTTATTACATCTTTAACAAGAAAATTGAGTACCCAATAGATTCAAAGCATACCTTCAGTTCTTGGTAAAGAGTAACAATGCCCATGCTTGTAGAAATCCTCGCAATCCATGAGAAAATGGTGCCAAGAGACTGATAGACACATCTCTCTTTTCCCTTCTCCTTCACAAGATAATGGTCTCCATTTTTAGTGCAAATTGACACCCTAGATGACACCAAAGCCTCTTGTCCCCTTTCTCCATTTTTTGTCTCTACCCAAAAGTACACAAAGGGAGAGTTAAATGGGTGCAGACCGAGCCAAGTTGAGCCCAGCCACCCAACTCACCTATTGTCAGGCTTGGCTCTTCTCACTCTCGCATCGTCCCACAAGCTCGTCCCTTGCTGTGGCAAGTCGAGTCGGCTCGTAGCCACCTGATTCGCATATTTTTATTTTTCTTTTCAAGGCGAAAATCGCACTTTCGCTCCTTGAAAGTGTAATAAAAATGTAAATTTATAGCGAATGTGTAAATGTAAGAAATTAAATATTTGTAAAATCCTCATCCTTTATTCGGGTTTGGGACCAGCTACAATACGTAAGTGAGTTAAAACATTACAAGAATGAATATTTGGTCTATGATTTTATAAGATAAACGAATGAAATATATATAATGTAATAACGGTTAGAAACTGAAACATAATTACAATTCTACCTTAGTAGTCTGCAATTGCACATCTAAAAATGATGCCGAAAATGCCCACCTTCATCTTCATGAAGTCATTGACGGATAAACACGTGTGCTTCTATTTAGGTTCTAATAGTGCCTATGCCACTTGTTGTATCTCGATCTAATACATGATCTCCTACTAACGCGGTGACCTTGTGCTTGGCATTGCTGGGTGAGTTTGAGGGACGGGGTTTCTACGAAAACCGGTAGAAAGTAGAGCAGCGAGTCCATTGGATCGAAAATCATGAATAAATGAGCTTGTGTTGGCTAATATGAAGGAATTCTTGAGAGTGATCATGTTTATTGACGCTAGACTGTTTGATGATTGTCCCCAATGAGATAAGAAAATATCGATTGGTTTTTTCTCGACAGGTTTGTACCACAAGTCGCACAACCAGGTTGATGCGAGGTCAAATTAGTGATCTGAGAATTAATTCTTAAGAGTTTTTCACAGCAATTAATAGGTAAGATGTGAAACTTATAGACTGCGCATTGGCCTATTTGTTGATTATTTTGGTTTTAAGTCAGCAACTTCCGAAGTATCCAAAGAAGTTTTGGGTTTTTAACTTGCAATGGAACATGATTTAAACATTCTAAAGGAAATGAAAGAATCTCTTTCCTTTTTTGGACTTGATTGGACATTCTCGAGTAGTATTAGATTTTTGAATCATGCTACAAGTATAGAAAAAACGAACAGAAAAAAATTTTGACAGACAACACGTGGCAGGAATTGATTGAAAGATGGAAAGAGAATAAAGAAATCAATCCAATTATCTGCAACCACGTCAGCTTAGGTAGAAATTTTGTCAAGAATTACTTGTACTCATGGCTTTTTACTAAAATTTTAAGATTAGACAAAATAAAAATTAGAGTCAGTAGTCATTATCTAGTACTAGTATCCTGTTCCATTTTCCAAAGAAAAAATAGAACGGGCAAATTTACAATCTACAGCAAAAAAGCTGGTTTCTCTGAAATTTTATTGAGCTTGTCAATTTGTCATGCGTTCCAAACTTTTTTGGACACAAGATTGAACCAGCCTAATAGCAGCAGAAAATGTAACATGATCATTCTAGATGCCTTAAGGGACTAACAAAAAGGAGGAAGCAAAAACAGAAAAAAGCAGAAAAATCATAATCTCTAAATTGAAAAACCTTTTTTGGTTCTCAATCATCCAGTGCTTAAGCATACATTGGAAGTTCAATAGAAATTCTTGGCTAAAATATGCTGGTTAAATAGCTCTGTTTATTGCATTCCCAGCTGGAAAATTTCCATAGCAATCATCCAAGTTCCACAAGCCACCCCACATGATATCCTCATTTGAGGTCTCTAGCATGGTTGCATAGCCATTAATCATCGAATAAAAGAAGCCCGACTCGTCGTTAGTGTTCGGGTAAATTATTTCTTGTCTCATTTGAGGGAAATTTGGCAGTCCATTGTTGTCATCATTCTCATCAAGCATTGAGATTATCTTCTTCATGTTCATTTCATCTTCTTGTTGTTGCTGCTGCAGCTGGTATTGTTGTTGTTGTAGCTGAAACTGTTGCCTCTTCAGAAGCCGGAGACGGGATTTTTCCTCGTTTTCCGAGGTGGGTTTCCCCTTTTTCTTGAAATGAGTCCTCCAATAGTTCTTGATTTCATTATCAGTTCTTCCTGGCAGGCTTCTAGCAATCGTTGACCACCTAAGTTCATGAAATCAGTTAATAAAGACTCGTTCTCTGAGGCAGCTTACTATAAGGCCCGAGCTAGCCCAAGAATTAATGAGAAGTAAAAAAGTTCGTTTAGGGCCGCAAATTAGTACCTGTTTCCCCATTTAGCATGTAGCTCGAGAATTATACTCTTTTCATGTGGGGTTATTTGCCCCCTCTTAAGGTCTGGCCTCAAGTAATTCACCCATCTTAATCTGCAGCTCTTTCCATTTCTTTTCAATCCTGTTCAATCACAAAATAAAATTCATTTGAAAATTATTACAACTTTGACACTTATAATCTACTACATAAGTTTCGATTTGAAAATAATAAAGAGACTGCATGTTTGATACACAACTTAGAAAGCAAAAAATGATTTCTTTTGGGTATTTTTGGGCAGTATCACCCTTGATATTGCCGACTTCTTTTGTAGAGAAGCAAGAACAAACCTGCGCTTTTAACTTCTTTCAATTTCTTATTATTGTTCAAACGTACACAACCCACCTTACTAAATGAGACAAAAGTGCGATAAATACAGGGCATGTAGTTTACCTGCAAGCCTAGACACATTGTTCCACCTTCCTTCACCATGCAATTTGACATATTCGATGAGCAATCTATCTTCTTCAGCAGTCCAAGGGCCCTTTCTCCACCCTTCTTCCATGGCTCCCCATCCCATATGTTGTGCCATAACTCCACAAGACATAAAAGCCAAAAATAAAATAAAATAAAATAAAACAATATTATTTGTTTTTCTTAGCAGAAACTAATACTAAGAAGGGTTTTTTCCTAAGAATTCCCTGACATTATGTGTTGGTGTCTATTGCATATTTATACTTGAAGTCTAACCTTAATTGCTCCATTCCGAAACTCAAATTTATGTCACTATCAATTAATCTATCAATATCCTATCATCACATAATTCAAAGATTAGCTCTAGATACTACTTAATTTGCAAGTTACAAAAATACCCTTCTTCAATTCTTGGGCATATGATGTTGTCCATCCGTTTGTTCACTAAACTTGTAGGAAAAATACGAGAACAAATACAGGAACTTCCGAAATCAGAGCTAACTAGATAAAAGATGTTCCCCCTTCTCTCCAAATATATCGTGTTTATGTGTATATTGCTGTTATTTATTGAACTTGTATTTCTCGTAGAGAAACTTCCAATTATTTCATAGTTAAAAAGACATTCTTAAAATAGGAAGAGTTTGACTGAAAACTCAATCATAAAACGATGGAATCATCAAAAATTTGATTGGACATGACAAATTGAGTAAACCGTACTTATAAGATGGAAAAGCTTTCATTAAACTCAAAATTTATCCAAAATTGTACTGTAATATCTCTTTTTCGCTATAACGTCATGAATTATCTACTATAGAGACGTGGACTATATTATCTACCTATGAACACACTATAATCGAACCGAACAAAATAAGTAAAAATATCCTAATATACAAGTCTAGTTTCGTCGAAAGATTAACATAGAACATGTTCAAAAAATCAAAACTAAAACAAGGGCAATCAAGGAATGGAAAATTTTGTCAAGACTTTTGATGACATGTACTTATTTATTCTTAAAATAGGAAGAGTTTGACTGAAAACTCAATCATAAAACGATGGAATCATCAAAAATTTGATTGGACATGACAAATTGAATATACCGTACTTATCAGATGGAAAAGCTTTCATTCAACTCAAAATTTATCCAAAATTGTAGTGTAATATCTCTTTTTCGCTATAACGTCATGAATTATCTACTATAGAGACGTGGACTATATTATCTACACTATAATCGAACCGAACAAAATAAGTAAAAATATCCCAATATACACGTCTAGTTTCGTCGAAAGATAAACATAGAACATGTTCAAAAAATCAAAACTAAAACAAGGGCAATCAAGGAATGGAAAATTTTGTCAAGACTTTTGATGACATGTACTTATTTGGCTAGGGACACGTATAACATAGGGGTTTATGCGTCTAGACACTATGTACCAAAAGCCTTTAAAGCACTCTCTTATTATATATAATTACAATTAATTATTAAGTGGGTGGCTAATTCTTTAAGCTTGAAAGACACTACAAAGCCAATATCTAGTTAACATGTGTTTGATTTGCTTACTTCTTAAGGAGATAATTCCACCATAATCACCATTCTTTTTAATAAAATATATTTAATTAGATGCCTTTTTTGTCTATTGAGGCATTTAATTATTGGAATAAGCATGTTCTTAATACGTCATTAAGGGGACAGGTGGTATGGTATTACACGATGGCCTTCACGAGAGTGGTTTGATGATCGAAACGTGTTATAAAATTTTCATCATTCTTTACTTGGAATGTATTTTTATTAATATAATGAAAATTGGAATACTCGATGTAAATCATTGAACATATCCAACGTTATTGATGAAAAGAAAAAATAAATGGTTATTCAAATTATATTTTGTTTGTGATGTATTAGAGATACCACTAATTATCAACAAACAAAAAGTGTTTTTTCCTTCAATGAATTTTATTTCAATAGTTCAATCATGTCAAATTAGATGGCAAACGACCTCCTCAACTCTCAAATTTTACTAGCCAGGTGGTGGGAAGAAAAGGGGTGCAATGAAAAGAAGAGAGGGTGACAATGCGAAAAAAAAAAAATATAAAGGAATCCACGGGACGGCATAGTAGGAAGATGAAAAAGATGTCAAAGTGAGAGGAGTTGTCGAGGTGGCACCAAGATGTGGGAGCATGGACTAGTCGAAGATGAATGGTAGGGCACAAGATAACTCGAGAAAGAAAGAGAGAAAGATTATGAATTTTTACGAAACATGACATTTGTTTAAAAAATTTGTATCCAACATAATTTTTGCTAGGTCGGACTAGATAGACTCCAAGATAACTCGAGAAAGAAAGAACGAAAGATTAAAATACAACATTTGTTAAAAGATATTTATATCCAATATATTTTTTTGCTAGGCCGGACTAGATTCCGTGTTATGTACGTACGGATGGAGAGATTTTTTTTTATCAAAAGTGTTGGGGACACTTTGCACATAGAAAAGCATTTTGCTTTCCAAGTGAAACTTGGTGCTTAAACACAGATCAAAAAGCGCTTGTAAAAAAAAAAAAAAAGTGGTAGATTTACATCTGGCTTATGTTCTTGCACCTTTTGGATTTCTTTATAAACAATATTTTTTGTTACAACTTTTTCCCCTTGAATAATTTGAAATATATGAACGATTTAGCCTAATTTTTTGATGATTAAATTATATCAAATCAGTAATTGAAAATATTTGTGCACTTGTTTAGTATGGTAAATTTGAATAAGTCAAATCTATTTCAATGTTAAAAGATTCAATTGTTAAAAAAAAAAAAAAAAGAATTTATTTATTTGTAGTTGTATATTCAAGACACTATTATTTTTGGACTCGAACTCGATAGATCTATTCATGATTAGGATGAAGTTTGAGTGGAATCCAGTGGAGATCCGATGTAATTGATGTTGAACAATCAGTGGTCATGCATCGATTATATTCATTTTTATTAAAAAAAATTATATTTAAAGATAAATGACCAACTCATTTAAAAATACAAATTACTAGAAAGACATTTATTTATATTTTTGTTTATATTTATGATTTAACACGTTTTTTCATAAACAAATCAGTTTCGATATTTATTCAAAGACTTGATGTATAATTACTTTTTAAAATAGTTTAACCGTAAAACTTCAAGATCTTTGTAGGTTCCATTTCCATACTACATAATTCTCACATTCGAAAAAGAAAATTGTGACTAAAAATAAAATTACTTATTTGTATTTATATTAATATTGTTGACGATAGAAATTTGATCAACAAATTCCTCTCACATAAACAGGATTTTCACCTCCTCATTTCACTAGTTTTGATGCTTAAATTGGAGCAAGAAGGGAAATGATTATTTGGAAGGAAATATTTAAATTTGAACGCTTTACTCTTCTGAGGGGAGGGTATTTATGAGTTTTCCCCCAAACTTTAGTAATTCCTCATTTAGAACAAATGATATATATCGACCCCTTATTGATTAGCCTGTAACTAATTCTGTTAGAGTATCACATTTTATTTATTGATTTACGCCTTATTAACGGCTCTTAACCAGCGTAGATGGGGAAAAGGGTTCGTCCTCCTTAAGCGAGTCTTTTATGCTCGTCCCTTTACATAACACTTAGGGCCTGTTTTGGAGCAATTTTTTCTTCCAAAAAATTGATTTTTTGACTGTTATTTCACTATTTCAGCCGTCATATTTGACTTCTTCTTTCATAGGAGGACCCCATTTTTCTCCTAACGGTCAAAAAATCAATTCTCAAAGTCACTCCTAAATAGGCTCTTAAGCCTCGTGTACGGTGGAAAATATCCGAGGAGGATATTTCTTGGTTCAATAAAATTATTTACCACAAAGTACAACACATCAACATATCATATTTTTAAAATTTTAAAGTGTCAATTCAAGGCAGATTAGGATAAGATGTTTTGAAAGGTGGGGGGCAACAACATTAATTAATTAATTAAACTTCTCATAATCACTTTTTCTTTAGACGAACTCAAGGAATGTTTCTAGAAGATTTTTCTTCTATAATTTGATATTATCTGTTGGATTTGCAGAATCTTTGGTATTATGGGAGTCTTTATTTAATAATTTGTTTTGTAATTTTACCTATTTTTAATTTATTTTTAAATAAATAATATCTGATCTTTGCAAGGTTGTCTCCCATTAATTGAGTAGTCCAAGTTAGCTGTAGCATAATATTACGGAAAGGTCAGATCAAATCAAATGAGATTGTTAATTATACCTATTATAATCAGAAGAAAATATTTGAAAAGACTTGCTTTATGAAAGTTTGGGGCCCGAATCGTTGGTACGGCAAAGGGCAATCATAGTACACGAGAAATTTGACAACGTTACGTAGTTGCCATTTGGTGAGATAAGAATTAGAAATTTTTATAATAAATTATAATAAAATTAATAAAATATATTGTTAAAAAATCAATAAAAATTGTGAGCCACAAAAAATATGCGTTTGAAAATGAAGTTAAAAAGAAAATAAATTTTAAAAAAATGAGGACCAAACTCGATTGTAATATGTTGGAATTCGATTGAAGGGTTTTCTTTAGAAGAATTTGTTTAAGAATGCTATAGGTGAAGAGAAAAAATGAAAATTAGAATGATATCGATTTGGGGAGTATTTATAAATATTTTATATATTAATTGAAGAAAATAAGTGATGAATAAGTTCCCAAAAATAAAACATATCGAGGTAATATATATAACACAATATAAAGTATATGATCGCAAACGAATAACAAAATAAGAGACAAAAAAATTAATTGGCAGTTGAACAAATTATTTTATTCAATTGACTAATGTGGAGAAAATAAATACAATAACTGTGCTTATATAATTATTCTATATTTCAGTCATACAAAACTAAAATCTAGTTTTTATACGGATGCATGCCAAATACTAAAAATACCATAAAATGAAAACAAAATAGAAAATCCTGTGTAATAAAGGAAACAATATTTTTCTAATAAAAACACGTGGAATAAAACAAATAAATTTTTTCGAATAAAAGCACTAGAATAAAGGAGACTATTTTCACCCCAAAAATCCAACTTAATTTGAGTAAAAAAAAAAAAAAACTAATAATAAATAAGTAGTATTTGTGGGTCTCGCAAAATGTGTGAACAATAATAAATTTGACTCTTTTCTAATTATCTATAAAAGTTGATAAATACTTGTCAAACTTAGTTGGAAAATATATTTCTAACATGGTCGCACCTCTAATATTTTCTCAGTGTTCTCGCATTTACTTCATGTATCTTCATATTGTGCATTCGCTTTCCACAAGAGACTACTGAAACACTAGATGATGCAGGGGTGGTCCATATCAGGCTAATCTTGAGATTTTGGTGGCCTTACGTCAAACTTTATATGTACCTTCTCTAAATAGTTGGGGGGAAAAAATACAATGAGTAGAAATAATTTTTTATTTTAACAAATAAAAAATATTTGAATACAATAATAAAAGTTGAGAACATCTGAGATTTGTGATTTTTGCAGGCAAAGCCCTGCAATTATTCTGATTAAAAGATGATTTTGAGACTTATTAAAAAAAAAAAAAAAAAGGTTGAACTCCAATCTTGAGGATCCTCACCGCCCTACTCCTAGAGATTTGTGAGGGAGGTAAATCGTGAAATGTGCTCCAGCAGATCAAGGAACAAGAGCTGTCTGTACACTACGTCTACAAGGAGTCCAATTCCATGTTTCAGGAATCGAACTCCCACACTGCGACTGTCAGCAAGGCGTGACATATTTTTACTAGTAATGAAAGTTTAGGGTAAAAATGTCAAAATAGGTTTCTAGACAAAGTAGAACAGGAAGTGCTACCCTAGACCCATGAGAAGTGGACTGGGCAATGCATAGAAGAATAATTCTACTCAAATGGGGGCCATGACACGCGCAAATTTTGTATAGAAAAATATTTCTTAGTCCCTCTATTGTGATTCTAGTTTGAAAATCCCTTAGCTATTGAAATTGAGTTTTGTTTTTCTTGGTACCCACTCACACGTGCAATTATAACTTAGAAGAATATCGAAGAAGACTTGAAAGTTTGTATCTTGGAGATCAAGGAAGAACTTGTAAACTAAGAAGGATATTGGAAACTTATAGCGATCTGGTCCGTGATTTGGAATATAAATAATTGATCATGCTCTAGCTTAAAATTTTGTTCTTTGAATTAATTGACATGAATCTAATGAATTCAGTAGATGGGATTTTTGAATTAAATTTTTGAAATATACTTGTTCTTGATTCTTTTTTTTTTTTTTTTTTTTTTTTTAAATATACTTTTTGCTTTTTCCATGTCTTTCCATCTCTTTTCTTATCCCCTTTTATAGACAATATATTTCAAGATGAGTACACAATCATTCGAAAAACAAAGAAAAAAGATCCAAAAATTCGTAATTTTGGCCAATAGTGTGAATTTGAGTAAACGAAAAGCAAGGAGTCCAAAAAAAATAATCCAAAATAATTACTTTAATCTTTAGTAAAATAAAAGGAAGATACTCTTAAGAAGACTATTGAGCTAGAAATATTTGACTTTAAACTGCAAAGTTGAAACACACAGCTTTATATCAAATAAAAAATCGAAATCATATTGTACCATGACATAGTAAGTGTCCAAAAGAAAAAAGTTAGTATTTTAAACTACGTCTTTCTATCAAATAATTACTTCGCTTCTATTAGATTTACAAGTACAGTTAACAGTATGCGCCCTATTACCAGTATTCTCGAGACTTCTTTCACCTTCTAGAGTGCTAAAAAATTTGACTTCCGATATAACGACCTTCTAGTTTGTGCTTTTCAATCTAATCATAGTTTTCCTTCCATGATTTATTGCGAGTCCATCTAGGAGAGAAATATTGATGTAATGTGTCATTTTGTGGGGGCTAAATGAAACATATGATTAGAAAATAGAGAGGGCCTTTCAATATTCCTATCATTGTGTACAATAAATCACATCTTCCTTCACTTTATGTCCCTTTCTTTCAAGTTAAGAAGCATTTGCTAGCTTTTACTTTAGGGTTTCATATGGATTTGATTGAGGGAAAGATAGACAAGATGCATACAGCTGTGAATAATTATCTTCTTGTATACCAACCATCCACATCCATCAATTTCATGTACTACTATTAACTCATTGTTGGAATGTGGAATAAAATTCTCAAAAAATCAGAAAAAGTAGGGAAAAAATTCAAGAATTCATGATCGTTCCTAAATGTTCGTGTGTATGTTATGATGAAATAAAAAGAACAAGAATTTACCCGAATTTCGCTAAGCAATTTTTTTATAATAATTTGAATCATAAACTTCCACCTTTTTTATTCTAAAAACTTATACGTTGGTTGGTAAAAAATTATTTATGATCAAAATACAAGTTAAATCACATTGTGTTTCTCAACGTAAACACACAAATTATATTATTAAAAGAATTTACCCGAATTTTGGCATGTTTAAAGAACCACGGCATACTGATCGCTCTTCAATTTTGTTAAAAATTAGTAAAAAGTAAAATAAAAAATAAAATAAATTTACCAAATAGCTTCAGAGATTGGATATAAGAAAACTAATTCCCCATTTTATTAACGAGTTTCTTGAGTCAATGGCTGCTATCATATCATGTGATTTCACATCCATTTCCCCATCGATCTCTTTTGGTTTTGGTATAATTTATTATTTTACCTTAATTAGTTTTAAGATAAGTGAAAAAATTTAACATTTTCACTGTTATAGAAACCCGACCAAGCATCAATTTGAATAAGAAGTTAAAGGGTCGAATCAAGGTCAATCAAAGTCGATTTCGTGAAAAAAAATAAAAAATGAAAAACATTAATAACAAAGTTGCATTTAGGTCACACATATTTAAACTTATGCAATAAAGCCATCCAACTTCAATTTATTTGCAAATCTAACCACTCCATCCATAGGCGGCATTACGTTAATTGAACTTACGATAGTAGATGGAGTGGCCATATATACAAGCAAATTGAATTTGAGTCGCTTAATTGCACATAATTAAAGTTGTGTGACATACATGCAACTCAAATGAAGCTCAATGACAGCACCAGCAATGCATTTTTTTCCTTATATTTTTAAATTTTCACTTTGTATGGAGAAATAATTAACAAATTATTTTTGTAATTGAAAATTCAATTTGATGCACAAAAGAGGAAAAAATAACATTTTTTTTCTTGAACTTCATCGGGGACAAGAACGTGGTTCCCCTCAACAAACCCGCCCATACTCCTATTTTCAGTTTTTCCTATTTGTGTTTTTAAATTTAAATCATATTTAAAAAAATTAATATTAAAAAGAAGTAAATAGGTAAATTAGGAAATGAGTGGAAATATGGATATTTTAATCCCATCCAGCATCTTGAAAATCTCTTGCTTGACCAAAAGACACAAGTCTGATCTTAAGCCATTTTCAATTATTGGCATCAAATTAGAGTAATTTTCACACTATTTACTGAGTCGTCAGCAATCATTACACTAATTGAACAGTGTTCTATTTATTTTCTTGCTTTTAAATTCTCAATATTTAATTTATTTTAAAATTATTTTATTATATTATGCTAAAATTACTAAATTATAAATTTAATTCCTAATTTTTTATTAATAAATTTTTAAGATTAGACAAAATAAAAATTAGAGTCAGTAGTCATTATCTAGTACTAGTATCCTGTTCCATTTTCCAAAGAAAAAATAGAACGGGCAAATTTACAATCTACAGCAAAAAAGCTGGTTTCTCTGAAATTTTATTGAGCTTGTCAATTTGTCATGCGTTCCAAACTTTTTTGGACACAAGATTGAACCAGCCTAATAGCAGCAGAAAATGTAACATGATCATTCTAGATGCCTTAAGGGACTAACAAAAAGGAGGAAGCAAAAACAGAAAAAAGCAGAAAAATCATAATCTCTAAATTGAAAAACCTTTTTTGGTTCTCAATCATCCAGTGCTTAAGCATACATTGGAAGTTCAATAGAAATTCTTGGCTAAAATATGCTGGTTAAATAGCTCTGTTTATTGCATTCCCAGCTGGAAAATTTCCATAGCAATCATCCAAGTTCCACAAGCCACCCCACATGATATCCTCATTTGAGGTCTCTAGCATGGTTGCATAGCCATTAATCATCGAATAAAAGAAGCCCGACTCGTCGTTAGTGTTCGGGTAAATTATTTCTTGTCTCATTTGAGGGAAATTTGGCAGTCCATTGTTGTCATCATTCTCATCAAGCATTGAGATTATCTTCTTCATGTTCATTTCATCTTCTTGTTGTTGCTGCTGCAGCTGGTATTGTTGTTGTTGTAGCTGAAACTGTTGCCTCTTCAGAAGCCGGAGACGGGATTTTTCCTCGTTTTCCGAGGTGGGTTTCCCCTTTTTCTTGAAATGAGTCCTCCAATAGTTCTTGATTTCATTATCAGTTCTTCCTGGCAGGCTTCTAGCAATCGTTGACCACCTAAGTTCATGAAATCAGTTAATAAAGACTCGTTCTCTGAGGCAGCTTACTATAAGGCCCGAGCTAGCCCAAGAATTAATGAGAAGTAAAAAAGTTCGTTTAGGGCCGCAAATTAGTACCTGTTTCCCCATTTAGCATGTAGCTCGAGAATTATACTCTTTTCATGTGGGGTTATTTGCCCCCTCTTAAGGTCTGGCCTCAAGTAATTCACCCATCTTAATCTGCAGCTCTTTCCATTTCTTTTCAATCCTGTTCAATCACAAAATAAAATTCATTTGAAAATTATTACAACTTTGACACTTATAATCTACTACATAAGTTTCGATTTGAAAATAATAAAGAGACTGCATGTTTGATACACAACTTAGAAAGCAAAAAATGATTTCTTTTGGGTATTTTTGGGCAGTATCACCCTTGATATTGCCGACTTCTTTTGTAGAGAAGCAAGAACAAACCTGCGCTTTTAACTTCTTTCAATTTCTTATTATTGTTCAAACGTACACAACCCACCTTACTAAATGAGACAAAAGTGCGATAAATACAGGGCATGTAGTTTACCTGCAAGCCTAGACACATTGTTCCACCTTCCTTCACCATGCAATTTGACATATTCGATGAGCAATCTATCTTCTTCAGCAGTCCAAGGGCCCTTTCTCCACCCTTCTTCCATGGCTCCCCATCCCATATGTTGTGCCATAACTCCACAAGACATAAAAGCCAAAAATAAAAATAAAATAAAATAAAACAATATTATTTGTTTTTCTTAGCAGAAACTAATACTAAGAAGGGTTTTTTCCTAAGAATTCCCTGACATTATGTGTTGGTGTCTATTGCATATTTATACTTGAAGTCTAACCTTAATTGCTCCATTCCGAAACTCAAATTTATGTCACTATCAATTAATCTATCAATATCCTATCATCACATAATTCAAAGATTAGCTCTAGATACTACTTAATTTGCAAGTTACAAAAATACCCTTCTTCAATTCTTGGGCATATGATGTTGTCCACCCGTTTGTTCACTAAACTTGTAGGAAAAATACGAGAACAAATACAGGAACTTCCGAAATCAGAGCTAACTAGATAAAAGATGTTCCCCCTTCTCTCCAAATATATCGTGTTTATGTGTATATTGCTGTTATTTATTGAACTTGTATTTCTCGTAGAGAAACTTCCAATTATTTCATAGTTAAAAAGATATTCTTAAAATAGGAAGAGTTTGACTGAAAACTCAATCATAAAACGATGGAATCATCAAAAATTTGATTGGACATGACAAATTGAATATACCGTACTTATCAGATGGAAAAGCTTTCATTCAACTCAAAATTTATCCAAAATTGTAGTGTAATATCTCTTTTTCGCTATAACGTCATGAATTATCTACTATAGAGACGTGGACTATATTATCTACACTATAATCGAACCGAACAAAATAAGTAAAAATATCCCAATATACACGTCTAGTTTCGTCGAAAGATAAACATAGAACATGTTCAAAAAATCAAAACTAAAACAAGGGCAATCAAGGAATGGAAAATTTTGTCAAGACTTTTGATGACATGTACTTATTTGGCTAGGGACACGTATAACATAGGGGTTTATGCGTCTAGACACTATGTACCAAAAGCCTTTAAAGCACTCTCTTATTATATATAATTACAATTAATTATTAAGTGGGTGGCTAATTCTTTAAGCTTGAAAGACACTACAAAGCCAATATCTAGTTAACATGTGTTTGATTTGCTTACTTCTTAAGGAGATAATTCCACCATAATCACCATTCTTTTTAATAAAATATATTTAATTAGATGCCTTTTTTGTCTATTGAGGCATTTAATTATTGGAATAAGCATGTTCTTAATACGTCATTAAGGGGACAGGTGGTATGGTATTACACGATGGCCTTCACGAGAGTGGTTTGATGATCGAAACGTGTTATAAAATTTTCATCATTCTTTACTTGGAATGTATTTTTATTAATATAATGAAAATTGGAATACTCGATGTAAATCATTGAACATATCCAAGGTTATTGATAAAAAGAAAAAAAAATGGTTATTGAAATTATATTTTGTTTGTGATGTATTAGAGATACCACTAATTATGAACAAACAAAAAGTGTTTTTTCCTTCAATGAATTTTATTTCAATAGAATCTTGACGATTCAGAACAATTTCAATCATGTGAAATTAGATGGCAATTGATCTCCTCAACTCTCAAATTTTACTAGCCGGGTGGTGGGAAGAAAAGGGTTGCAATGAAAAGAAGAGAGGGTGACAATATGAAAAAAAGTAAACGAATCAATTGGACGGCATAGTAGAAAGACGAAAAAGACGTCAAAGTGAGAGGAGTTGTCGAGGTGGCACCAAGATGTGGGAGCATGGACTAGTCGAAGATGAAAGGTAGGGCACAAGATAACTCGAGAAAGAAAGAAAGAAAGATTATCAATTTTTATGAAACATGACATTTGTTTAAAAAATTTGTATCCAACATAATTTTTTCTAGGCCGGACTAGATAGACTCCAAGATAACTCGAGAAAGAAAGAACGAAAGATGAAAATATGACATTTGTTAAAAGAAATTTATATCCAATATGATCCAATATATTTTTTTGCTAGACCGGACTAGATTCCGTGTTATGTACGTACGGATGGAGAGATTTTTTTATCAAAAGTGTTGGGGACACTTTGCACATAGAAAATCATTTTGCTTTCCAAGTGAAACTTGGTGCTTAAACACAGATCAAAAAGCGCTTGTAAAAAAAAAAGTGGTAGATTTACATCTGGCTTATGTTCTTGCACCTCTTGGATTTCTTTATAAACAATATTTTTTGTTACAACTTTTTGCCCTTGAATAATTTGAAATATATGAACCATTTAACCTAATTTTTTGAAGATTAAATTATATCAAATCAGTAATTGAAAATATTTGTGCACTTGTTTAGTATGGTAAATTTGAAGAAGTCAAATCTATTTCAATGTTAAAAGATTCAATTGTTTAAAAAAAAATATTTATTTGTAGTTGTATATTCAAGACACTATTATTTTTGGACTCGAACTCGATAGATCTATTCATGATTAGGATGAAATTTGAGTGGAATCAAGTGGAGATCCTGATGTAATTGATGTTGAACAATCAGTGGTCATGCATCGATTATATTCATTTTTATTAAAAAAAAAAAAATTATATGTAAAGATGAATGACCAACTCATTTAAAAATACAAATTACTAGAAAGACATTTACTTATATTTTTGTTTTTATTTATGATTTAACACGTTTTTTCATAAACAAATCAGTTTCAATATTTATTCAAAGACTTGATGTATAATTACTTTTTAAAATAGTTTAACTGTAAAATTTCAAGATCTTGGTATGTTCCAGTTCCATACTACATAATTCTCACATCCGAAAAACAAAATTGTGACTAAAAATAAAATTACTTATTTGTATTTATATTAATATTGTTGACGATAGAAATTTGATCAACAAATTCCTCTCACTTAAACAGGATTTTCGCCTCCTCATTTCACTAGTTTTGATACTTAAATTAGAGCAAGAAGGGAAATGATTATTTGGAAGGAAATATTTAAATTTGAACGCTTTACTCTTCTGAGGGGAGGGTATTTATGAGTTTTCCCCCAAACTTTAGTAGTTCACTCATTTAGAACAAATGATATATATCGACCCCTTATTGATTAGCTTGTAACTAATTCTGTTAGAGTATCACATTTTATTTATTGATTTACGCCTTATTAACGGCTCTTAACTAGCCTAGATTGGGAAAAGGGTTTGTCCTCCTTAAGTGAGTCTTTTATGCTCGTCCCTTTACATAACACTTAGGGCCTGTTTTGGAGCAATTTTTTCTCTCAAAAAGTTAATTTTTTGACCATTATTTCACTATTTCAGCCGTCATATTTGACTTCTTATCTCATAATTGGACCCCACTTTTTTCCTAACGGTCAAAAAATCAATTCTCAAAGTTACTCCCAAACAGGCTCTTAAGCTTCGTGTACGGTGGAAAATATCCGAGGATATTTCGTGGTTCAATAAAATTATTTACCACAAAGTACAACACATCAACATATCTTATTTTTAAAATTTTAAAGTGTCAATTCAAGGCAGATTAGGATAAGATGTTTTGAAAGGTGGGGGGCAACAACATTAATTAATTAATTAATTAATTAATTAAACTTCTCATAATCACTTTTTCTTTAGACGAACTCAAGGAATGTTTCTAGAAGATTTTTCTTCTATAATTTGATATTATCTGTTGGATTTGCAGAATCTTTGGTATTATGGGAGTCTTTATTTAATAATTTGTTTTGTAATTTTACCTATTTTTAATTTATTTTTAAATAAATAATATCTGATCTTTGCAAGGTTGTCTCCCATTAATTGAGTAGTCCAAGTTAGCTGTACCATAATATTACGGAAAGGTCAGATCAAATCAAATGAGATTGTTAATTATACCTATTATAATCAGAAGAAAATATTTGAAAAGACTTGCTTTATGAAAGTTTGGGGCCCGAATCGTTGGTACGGCAAAGGGCAATCATAGTACACGAGAAATTTGACAACGTTACGTAGTTGCCATTTGGTGAGATAAGAATTAGAAATTTTTATAATAAATTATAATAAAATTAATAAAATATATTGTTAAAAAATCAATAAAAATTGTGAGCCACAAAAAATATGCGTTTGAAAATGAAGTTAAAAAGAAAATAAATTTTAAAAAAATGAGGACCAAACTCGATTGTAATATGTTGGAATTCGATTGAAGGGTTTTCTTTAGAAGAATTTGTTTAAGAATGCTATAGGTGAAGAGAAAAAATGAAAATTAGAATGATATCGATTTGGGGAGTATTTATAAATATTTTATATATTAATTGAAGAAAATAAGTGATGAATAAGTTCCCAAAAATAAAACATATCGAGGTAATATATATAACACAATATAAAGTATATGATCGCAAACGAATAACAAAATAAGAGACAAAAAAATTAATTGGCAGTTGAACAAATTATTTTATTCAATTGACTAATGTGGAGAAAATAAATACAATAACTGTGCTTATATAATTATTCTATATTTCAGTCATACAAAACTAAAATCTAGTTTTTATACGGATGCATGCCAAATACTAAAAATACCATAAAATGAAAACAAAATAGAAAATCCTGTGTAATAAAGGAAACAATATTTTTCTAATAAAAACACGTGGAATAAAACAAATAAATTTTTTCGAATAAAAGCACTAGAATAAAGGAGACTATTTTCACCCCAAAAATCCAACTTAATTTGAGTAAAAAAAAAAAAAAACTAATAATAAATAAGTAGTATTTGTGGGTCTCGCAAAATGTGTGAACAATAATAAATTTGACTCTTTTCTAATTATCTATAAAAGTTGATAAATACTTGTCAAACTTAGTTGGAAAATATATTTCTAACATGGTCGCACCTCTAATATTTTCTCAGTGTTCTCGCATTTACTTCATGTATCTTCATATTGTGCATTCGCTTTCCACAAGAGACTACTGAAACACTAGATGATGCAGGGGTGGTCCATATCAGGCTAATCTTGAGATTTTGGTGGCCTTACGTCAAACTTTATATGTACCTTCTCTAAATAGTTGGGGGGAAAAAATACAATGAGTAGAAATAATTTTTTATTTTAACAAATAAAAAATATTTGAATACAATAATAAAAGTTGAGAACATCTGAGATTTGTGATTTTTGCAGGCAAAGCCCTGCAATTATTCTGATTAAAAGATGATTTTGAGACTTATTAAAAAAAAAAAAAAAAAGGTTGAACTCCAATCTTGAGGATCCTCACCGCCCTACTCCTAGAGATTTGTGAGGGAGGTAAATCGTGAAATGTGCTCCAGCAGATCAAGGAACAAGAGCTGTCTGTACACTACGTCTACAAGGAGTCCAATTCCATGTTTCAGGAATCGAACTCCCACACTGCGACTGTCAGCAAGGCGTGACATATTTTTACTAGTAATGAAAGTTTAGGGTAAAAATGTCAAAATAGGTTTCTAGACAAAGTAGAACAGGAAGTGCTACCCTAGACCCATGAGAAGTGGACTGGGCAATGCATAGAAGAATAATTCTACTCAAATGGGGGCCATGACACGCGCAAATTTTGTATAGAAAAATATTTCTTAGTCCCTCTATTGTGATTCTAGTTTGAAAATCCCTTAGCTATTGAAATTGAGTTTTGTTTTTCTTGGTACCCACTCACACGTGCAATTATAACTTAGAAGAATATCGAAGAAGACTTGAAAGTTTGTATCTTGGAGATCAAGGAAGAACTTGTAAACTAAGAAGGATATTGGAAACTTATAGCGATCTGGTCCGTGATTTGGAATATAAATAATTGATCATGCTCTAGCTTAAAATTTTGTTCTTTGAATTAATTGACATGAATCTAATGAATTCAGTAGATGGGATTTTTGAATTAAATTTTTGAAATATACTTGTTCTTGATTCTTTTTTTTTTTTTTTTTTTTTTTTTAAATATACTTTTTGCTTTTTCCATGTCTTTCCATCTCTTTTCTTATCCCCTTTTATAGACAATATATTTCAAGATGAGTACACAATCATTCGAAAAACAAAGAAAAAAGATCCAAAAATTCGTAATTTTGGCCAATAGTGTGAATTTGAGTAAACGAAAAGCAAGGAGTCCAAAAAAAATAATCCAAAATAATTACTTTAATCTTTAGTAAAATAAAAGGAAGATACTCTTAAGAAGACTATTGAGCTAGAAATATTTGACTTTAAACTGCAAAGTTGAAACACACAGCTTTATATCAAATAAAAAATCGAAATCATATTGTACCATGACATAGTAAGTGTCCAAAAGAAAAAAGTTAGTATTTTAAACTACGTCTTTCTATCAAATAATTACTTCGCTTCTATTAGATTTACAAGTACAGTTAACAGTATGCGCCCTATTACCAGTATTCTCGAGACTTCTTTCACCTTCTAGAGTGCTAAAAAATTTGACTTCCGATATAACGACCTTCTAGTTTGTGCTTTTCAATCTAATCATAGTTTTCCTTCCATGATTTATTGCGAGTCCATCTAGGAGAGAAATATTGATGTAATGTGTCATTTTGTGGGGGCTAAATGAAACATATGATTAGAAAATAGAGAGGGCCTTTC